CATGTCCTAGAGAACTTCCTAGAATCCTCTAACATGTGCTGGGGAATTCCACAGAGGATGGATAGCCCACCTTGGCACCCATGTTTATGTGAAAGTGTCCCCTTAGGGTAGAAAAGCTGAGAAATATTGGAAAATGGAATGCAACAGAGAAAATTCATGAGAGAGAAAATTCATGGAGGATAAATCCATCAGTGGCTAGTTGTCATGAAGCCTATGCATTAACTCCAATCTCAGAGAGACTGGCCATTATGAGCATAGCATAGCATAGCATAGCATAGCATAGCATAGCATAGCATAGCATAGCAAGGCTTGTGACCTGCTCCAGCATGGCTTTTTATGTTCTTATGAATCCTGACCAATTCTAACACTCTGGTTTACCCAGTAGGTTCTTTTAAATATGCGTTGGGGCAGCTACTACATGGATTTGGGGTATCTGAGTAAAAGTATGTGAGACAGATCAAATTATGACTTAATAAACAATCAAAACAGCATATGTAAAAATAAGGACAATTACACATGATCATGTGCTAGTACAGTGATGGAAACTGTTGCTGGGTAGTCCATGAGGACTAGAGCCCAAAATCTTGCATTTGGAGCCAAGGGCCACTGGGAGGCTTCTGCTCTACCACCCTGTTGTCCTCTGCTCTCCTTGGGCATTTGTGGGAATAAAGATACAGGACTATGATGATTCCAGGTACATCCTATTCTCTTGAAGTACCAGTTTTTGTCCACACGTTCTTTATTTCCTGTTGAGCCTCCCACCCATCTTTCTGCTTGGTTTTTTCCCCTGAAACTGAATATTCACCTTTCCTACCCAAAGATTTCTTTTTAGAAATAAGGCTGATCTTAGGAGGCAGGCTCCTGTAAACACACACACATGCTTTAGAGCATATGTAAATCATCCTGCGCAAATCTGTGCCATTTATTTATTTATCTGGCCCTGAGCTTTAGATCTTTTCAGTACTTAGCACTGAATCATAAGGTGGCAAGATTGGAAAGGGAAGAATTGTGCTTAATGCTGTAAAATGATACAAAGATAGAAGCTAAAAAGGCAATTCCTGCTATGTCTCTAATATTACTACATGGAACAAAATCCACCTTTGTTTTTATCATAATAATCACTTACTGAGAAATCACAGATGCTCTCTATCTCTTGGTCACCACCAGTTTGAAAAAGCAGATGGGACGTTGTTGCAGCAATTTCATAACTGAAATGTGGCCTGTTTGATTTCCTCTCCAAAGTAACAACATGATTCCTTTAGGATTCCTGTCATAGGAGTTCTGGAAAAATGGGTACAGCTGTTCAAAGTATGTGATTGCTTGCCTGTCCTTCCTTGTGTATAATACATTACAGCTGAAGCCATCAAGATTCACTCAACTTTCTTATCTCAAAATGAACGATTGCACAAATGCAGGCTGGTGTAACTACCTTGGTCAAATAAGACACATGATTGATGTTAACTTAACAATCATTGATTTTTCTGTCTGCCCTGGAACTAGGACACAAAGCAGATAGCAGGCTGTCTGAAAAGATAGAACTCAGGTGAAGGTTAGCTGCAAACCACAGTGCTAACCAATTATTTGACAGCAGATACAATATGGATGACAACGAAACCATGCATGCAGATTATAAATGTATGGAAAATATAGCTTTTCTAAGAATTATGCAAACATTTCAACAAAAGCAGACCAAATATCCACAGAAGTCTCCCTTCATAAGTGGCATCTATACAAAACCTGTTCAAATGCTGGAAATGTTTATCCTTCTAATGCTGTAAAAACAGTCTTTTAGCTGTCAAAAGGGTGTGGAGAATCCATTCACACACAAAATTAACTCTCTGGGGAAACCCAGGTTTAAAGACTGGCAAGAAAACATTTGGTTAGCAGACTTGGATCGACAGGCTGGTTTTTACTCAGTTGAGCCTGAAGGTCCCAATGATGCTCCCTGCCATCCCGTTTGCATGAGAAATACGAATTGCCAGCCAGGCTGGAACGGCAATGCCAGCAGTGAAAGCACCTTGCAGAGCCTCCTTTTGGCCTGTTGCTTTTACAGCCTCAGAGCTCATTTTATTACTGGAAATACTGCATGAAACGGCACAGCTATATTGACTCATAGTTCCTATTGATTAATATCTATCCTCATTGAATAGATAGGATAAACAGGGTCTTATACAAGAAAGGAACAATAGATTGCCAGTCAATGGGTGGCATCAGTGGCATCTGTGACAGAAAGGAAAGAGAACCAGCATGGTGTGAGTCACTGGGTAACTGTGGGTGAGTCACTTACTCTTAGCCTGACCTACATCACAGAGTTTGCTGTTGTGTGGATAAAATGCAGCTACTGCCTCAGGTTCCTCATATGAGGGGAAAAGAAGGGTTATAAATTCAATGCAATCATAATTGCTCTTAGGATACATTTAATTTAGCAAAACTAATTCGTTGAGTATATTGGATACCACAATACCTTCCCAATAAGGGTTTATCCCAATTGTTAGAAGTGTAATACAATTATCACTTCTCTTACTCCTGTTTTGGCAATGACCAGTGGCAGTTTCCTTTTGGGAGGAGGTAATAATGATGGAAAATCCTTTAATGTTCACATTTGGCCCAAGCAGCCCCTCATGCCCAGTACTGGCATCCTAGCAGCCCACAAACGCTGCCATCACAATCCATCCAAGTATCCCAGCATATCATTTGAGAATCCCTCTGCTCTCCTAGCATGAAGATGCAGCTTCTGTAGTTACCAAACCCCTGCATCCTGAGCATGGCCTACACATCTTAGGATTCCTCTCCACCGGCTATGCTGGCCAGGGCTGAGAAGAGCTCTAAGGCACCAGCTGCCCTCTCTGGCTCTCCAGTTGGATGCTACCCTACATTCCTTCCTGCTAAATATTCATCTAAACAGTATGTTTCAAGAGAATCTGTTAAAAAGCAAGAACCCCAGCTCAAACATACAGGCAAAAATACAGCTTTTTTTGGAGAAGGCATAAGAGCATTATTTGGAAGAGATTCCAGCAGGAACACTGCATCCCCTTTAGCTTATGCTATTCACACCAAGCCATTGAGCAAAATTAATCAGAAGGGACAGATGTAAATACTACTGGTCCAGTCCAGGAGTGTGGAATTCTTTATTAAGAGAGAAGGATATGGAAGGATACAGCTATGTTTCTGTTACTCAGTATCATACAGAGAGAGCACATACACAAAAAGAATACTAAATAACCAAGCATTTACAAAATAGATCAGCTGCTTTTTTCCCCTCACTGGACTGATAATGCTTCTTCCTTTTGTTTTGTTTTGAAAATGAACCATTTCCCTGTTTTTACAGAGCAAATATACATAATATTTCTATAACAATACGCAGAAGGTGAAGCATCAAAATGCTATTTCAAAGAAAGTATCTCGTTTCCAAAAAGCATGCAATTGCCTTTCTTTTTCTTAAAGGTCAATTGTATTTACAACAAAGTAAGTGCTGTTGGGCTGCATGTTAGCAAAGATCAATCAACTAGAGCTGTAGGGGAGCAGGACACCTTGGGCATATATACAAAGAATCCTGGGAGTTGTAATTTGATGGAGGGGCTGGGAATTCTCTTAATGGCAGATGGGGCATACAGGGAGTTGTAGACCTTTATTTCTGTCTTTCTGTCTCTTTCTTTCTAAACATGCATAGGATTGTGCCCTCAGAAACTCATACCCTTCCAAGAAGATACCTACATTTCCCAGGAAACAGAGCAATAGTCAAACCGAAATCACCCACATTTTACCAGAAAAGCTTTCAACAAATTCCTTCTTCCTCAGGAATGAACCACTGATAACAATGTGCCAGTGAGTGATAAACGAGGACAGCCCCCCTTGCTCTGCAACACACCCTTGCAGAAGGGCAGTTTGAAGCACAGAAGAAGTCGAGGGGGAGATCTTGCATAACCCTTTCCTTAGCAGACTGTTTTCCTTTGAAATTCCACACTGTCCCCAAGTTTCTTCTACCCCCTACAGGATCCCATCTCTATGTTTGTGAAGCAAATGCGGATCTGGAACTTTGGTGGAGGCAGCTGAAAGGTGTAATGCCTCCACTGTTGGTGAGTACACGTGCTCCATCTTTGCAAAGCCCTTACTGCTTTATCATGAAGACTAACCAGTCACTTTATGCAGCAGAATAACACTTTGACCCTTACACCCCCTGAGTGAAAAATCACCTAGTCCTGAACCAAAGCAAAGCAGCACTGATGGTCTTTTAAGTGCTCAGCTCTGCTACTCAGCAGCACAGAAAGAATAGCATACTTGCATTCAGCTGATTCCTTTTTCATGTTGATTGTTTTGAAAAAGAAAAAAAGTTTTGCAATGTTAAATGATCTCCTGTAAAGGCCCAGAATTTACATTTGGGTTGCAAAGCTCAAATGCTTGCAGGAAAACCCATGTCACGGTAGTGGATCTAGAAGTCTAAACTTCCTTAGTGAAATTCAAACTTCTGCATTGCATCTGAACTCAGAACATGCAGATTTGAATTCTATATTTTGGAACTTGTCCAGATATAGCATCCAGCACAGAGTTATGTAGGTAAAGACCTGGGAAACTGGGCTGCAGACAGAATGCTAGTTATTTGACACAAGCCCCCTGTAATGTGAGTTCAGATTGGTGAAACAGCATTGAAACAGGTGCTGCCATAGCTTCAGCTTCTGCCACAATTGTGATGGAGTATATGCTCCATTTGTGCACCACAGCATTATGCTGGATGGCCAACGAACGGTTGTGTCACTGTCTGAAATGTTTCAGTGACAGTCTGCTCCTACAGCCAAAATACTAGCAAGGTTATGACATAGCTCTGCGTGATCCTATGTCATGGCAGTGGGAGGGTGCCAGTGATGTCCAGGAAAGGTGGCAAGGTGCATTCAAAAGTGCTGCCCTATTCCCATGACTGCAGAAGAAAGGAGGCATTCCACATGAGTACAGAGGAGGAAAGCTACATTGTAAGGAATGGGATGAGAGAGGACAACCCTGGAGAAAGGATTGTATTTGAAAGATAGTGGTTGATCCATCCACATGCTGGTTGTCTTGGGGGAATATCACGAGGACATCAGTTATTGTTCATGATCCACCAGGAAGCTAAGGAAACAAAGACAAGAAGTTCATAATATCTAAAATGGCTGACTGGATTAGAGTTGATTCCAAGATAGGAGGAGGGAGTACATGGCACAGCTCACATTCTTGGACTAATAATTCTTTCACTTGAACAGAGGTACCTGTCTTGGACATAAATGATGCACAACGGGTCCAGTTTCCCTATGGAGATTCAGAAGGACTTGAAAAATCTTCATAGGAGAAATTATGACCAATGACAGGTACCCCTGTTCAAGTTATGACATTCCTATCTCAAATCACATTTGTGACTTTGATTGCACCAACCAATAGTTCACTAATTTGATCCAAATATCCTTCCCTTTTCCTGAAGGAACTCAATGTGTACCAAGGACCCCAGGCAATCTTCCATTGGGTCACACCAAAGCCAGACCTTCTCTATTTCAGAAAAGTGTCTGCTTCATGCACCTTCTGACCACACAGCATTAACTCTAAGGTAAAGGAGCAGTGTGTTGCAGTGTAGACCTCTCTTATTTCTCCTGGTACTAAAAGGAACAGCACCTCTCCCTTATGCAGCACTCAATCCATTTGGATCTCTTTATGAACTGCACCTAACTTACTGTTTCTGCTTTTTCCTTATTTTTTAAAAAGTTTGGTTTGATGCTTACTGGCTCAGTTTCCACCAAGCTCACTAACATGTTAATAAGCAGGAAGATGAGACGGTATGGTAGTTAGTCTCAGAATTTCCAACATGAATTGAGTTCAGAACAAGTACACACTGAGATGTTTCCGAAATATTTTGTCTGTGTTTTCACAAGGGCTTTTAAAAAGTGACAGTATGGGGAGTGCACTATCCTTACCAAGCCAGAGGCTGCATATGATACTGGCTTAGGGGTCAAGGGTATGCAAACACACACAGGGCAATATTCAACAGTGTCATTCTGTAAACTCAGATGGGGCTAGCAGAGCTCCACCATATCTTTCTGTTATCTAAATGGTTGTATGCCTCTTATGCTTCCATAATCCTTTGTACAACTGTTTACACACTTGGTAATACAACACAATACCCAACTTGTTGCACAGGGGATTGCATAAGCATAATGCCCAGCTGCTTGCACAATGCATTGTACAAGCACATTAATGCTAATGTAAGTTTGACTGGATTCTCCTCTTGGAACCTAGTTACCATTACAGCAATGTCATTTGTGCTAGCAGAATGCCACACCTGGATGCTGCCTTTGCACATACACACAAATGCTCACAGACACATTGCAATGATCCTGATACACAGATCACTCTTTCCTCACTCCCAACAACTGTAGGGAAAGAGTGATCCACATGAAGATTGCTGGGGGATGAAGCAAAGGGGGAAGGATTGCAGGTAGTGGCAGAGGCTGTCAGTGTATGCTGGGGTGCTTAAGTCAAGGCCTTAGTGGGCTGCCAGGTGGATCCCTGGGCTGCAGGTGGAGCACTCTTGTAAAAAGAAAAGGTCGAAACAAAATGCAAATGTGTACGAAGCATTGCCTTACCTGGAAATAGCATAGTGGTCAAGAGTTCTGGTGAATCCAATAAATCAGTGATAGCACATTGGAACATCTTACTGTAATCTGATTGCAGATGGCTGCAAAGCAATGTAGAAGAATGGAAGTGGCAGGTGCTATTGAACCTCATCTGCTATGGTCAGCTTACTAGACTTTTCTTAGCTGCAATGGGAATCCCTTTCTCCACAGGGAATCTACTGCAAATTTCACTCACCTGAGAACTTTTGGATGAAATCTTTCAGCCACTCTTCACCCACCCTTTATAAGGTCCAGCAAAACTTTCCAATAATTAGAGGAAATCACTGCTGCTCTCCTGGCTTGTCCCCAGACTTTCAGTCAAGATATGCTGATCCTATACTCAGAGCCAAGGGTGGAGAAGCCCTTTCATAAAGGGACCATGCTTAAATGATACATTTCCCCTTTCCCTGGTCACAATTACTCCATTTTAACCTTTAGTAAATCCCTTCTTTTCCACAATGTTGTTAAGTCTTCCCAGTCGGAGTTGTGAAATACATTAGGGGGCTTTCTAACCACTCTGGGGAGTTTGGAGTCTTCGACTGCAAGACCGTTGGAGGGATTCTTTCATTCCTACTACATGAACTCAGGGGACTAATCTCACAACCACTAGCAGTGTAGATAATATGGTTCTAGAAGGAACAACACCTCCTATGTATGTGTGTGTATGAACACACATATACACCCATGTGCACACCCATACAAAAAAGTTTTGCAAAGCAGCTTGAAATCACTATTGTCGGCTTCCACAGAAAGGCTCTAGGAATTATAAGGATTCACCAACCTTCTCCATGAAGCCACATCTTGCCAAAACTCATAAAGGATGAAGCAGGAGTCACTTGTCAGTCTGTGGGCAGACACACTGCAGGAAAAGATGAGAGGCCATGAGGAAAAACATGATTGCTACTTACCAAGCACTGTGTAGCATATATAAATAGGGCCCCAGACTGACTCTTGTACCATAATTGCTTATCATCAGTGACTCATGGTTGAGTTTCTGTTGCTGTTTTCACAGGGAAGATAATTGTCCTCATGTGGAAGTTAAAGGAGTGCCTGTGCCTTCTAAAGAAGCATTTGGCTCACTGTGATGGCCACATTAATCACACAGCTTTTACACAGCAGAATGGCAAGCACCAAAGCTATTGTCTGATGCTTGGAACTGCCGCATCACCTTAACTAATGGAATTACAAGGCATAATGATGTGCTTCCTTTACAGGTATCAATAACAGCCACACACTCATTTGGGAGAGCCCATTCACACAAACACTTCAAGGAAGATTCAACTGTTACGCTTGACTCAAGGCTGCTGCTGAAAATGGTAGTCCATGACAAGATTTCTCTCATCTCCACTCAAATTTGGGAACTTTTCCTGGGAACCTTTTGGGATCTTTTTCCTGGCAAGTGGCAGCCAATGATTTGGAGGGTTCTTGGGAAACACATGATGTGACAATATCAAGTCATCAGTAAAGGTGTCCAAATTTGTGAGCGGAGAGTGTTGAGGCATATGAAGAGGAGGGCTGTGATGATTCTCTTGGAATACAGTTCTCTTCAGTTTGTTGGACCTCTTCTTTTGCTGATCCCTGATTCGGGAAGGGAGCCAAGCTGAAGGGAAGTCTGTGAACACTTGCAGAACTCCAGTCGTGGAAGTGGCAACCTTCCTCCACAGCACATGCAGTGCAAACAGAAGTTGCAAGCCACACGTGCAGAAGAGGGATGCCACTTGAGCAGTATCCACATGGGTTAGATTCCTGGTGGGCACTCATGCTCAGTATGCTTGGTGCCAAGTCATGGCTATGAGAATGTGGGCCAGAGTCTGGGGAGCTGAGCTAAGGGAATTAGATCAATTCCTACCCCCAAACCAGATTCTTCACATATCCAAAGTGGGGAGAGGCACAATACTATACTGCTGTTTTATGAAGCAGCAGCATGTCGAATGTAACAACCTAGTTCCCACATAATGCTATCTCATGGCTTATTTAATCCATGGTTTGTTGTCCTATCCAGGGTTTGCATGGCATATGTTTTCTCAATCCCTGGGTTGTTGGTTTCTCCATTTCTATTTCTCTGTACTACTGGAATGGAATGCGGCAGGGGTATTTTGACTACTCCTGCCTCCTGGCAAAACAACATATGATCAACCCACATCTCTAAATTCACATATAATTACAACTGCTGATTTAAACAACCCGTGGGTTTTCTTTTTGGGTTGTCCATGGTTTACAATTCGTGATTTGTTGGTGCAGTTGCATTCATGTATCATAACAACCCAGAATGTAACAACCCATAGGTTAAATAAACAATGGCTTAATAAAGAACCAGTTCAACAAGTAAGTTTGACCTTACATTGTGGCAGCTGTGATTTTCACTCAGTCTTGCTGATGGCTAACATTGCTACCAAGGGCAATTTAATGCATAAGCCATCTAGAATCATACAATTCATGTCTTACATAATAGGCAATATAATTTGCTTTGCATTTTCATATGCCTTGGTCTTGTTCCAGTAAAGAGCAAAGGTGCAGCAATATTCCAACAATCCATTAATTTTCATTTATTTCCCAAAGGTGTGTGTGACTGTGTTGTGTGTGTGCACTTCATTAACATGATAGGTTGAATCTTCCTTTTGTGTTCTTCTGAAAGAGAGAGAGAGAGAGTGTGCGTGTGCGCGGGGGAGGGGGAGATTCTGTTTCTTTGAATATTTTGCAACCATAATTCAGGCAGTTATTTATATCTTTCCAATTTCCAACTCTGTCTTCCAGCAACAAATATAACTATGGAATTAAGAAAAGGGCAATGGGTGTCTAAGCGCAGAATCATGTGAACACACAATTATAAATAGTGAATATGCTTTCTGTGCTTCTGTTTGTATTGCCATCTATACTGAAAAGGAGGGATAATGCTTCTCTGTAATGAGGTCGTCTCTTGCAGCATGGTATTTATCTACTTTATGGGGCTTTTAGTTAGACAGCTTAGTTCATAGATGTTTGTCAGGCTTAGAATATAAAGCAATACTGCATATACACCATGTACTATAAATAACACCTTCCTGGGTCTCAGAAGAATAAGTTAAGGTTCATGCACTGAAGACAGAGAGTTCAACAGAAACCAAGATGGCTGTTTTTAAACAAGTTTCTTTTCCAAGGAACATACAAAAGTCAAACTCTGAAAGACTTACTGTAGGCAGCTGCCTTGTCCAGCTGTAGTTTCTGTGTAAGATTGGAGAGTTTGGCGGAATACCTCTAATCCACTTTCAGCCACTGAGATCTGTCGCTGTGCCACCAGGATGTGCTGTAGAAAGATGGGAAAGATGGCAAGGGGGAGAGACCCAATTCTGGCACACCACGTGCAAGTTTACCCACTGACCCTATCAGGGAAGGTAGCTGCTTGTATCCAAGAAATTCCCTCTTTTAAACACCCAGCTACAGGAAGGGTGAAATGAGGTCTTGGATGTTGGATTCACAGCTCCAAGTTTACAGGGTCTTGCAGCTAGGACTCTGAGTAACCTTATGGCCCCACAGACGACGACAACACTGGGAAGTCACAAAGTCATGCTTTTAGTACTCTTATGCAACCCGCATACTAGCACTGAGCCTGGAGTTTGGGAGGAAGAGCTTACTGGTACTGCTCTTCATAGACCTGGTAGGGCAGGCGAAGGAACCTCAGTCTTTCTGCCAAATGACCCAATGCAGTTGCAGAGAATCCCTCAGGACTGCATTCCAGTCAGGGCTGGGGCTGAGGGTGAAGGGGTGGGCCAAAGGAAGAGGGGGTGGGCAAAATGCAAGAAAATCTGCACATTGTAGCTTATTGCTGCTTGGGGATCTTTGTAGATATAGAGAGATGTATAATTCCTATAAGTAACTGATCAAGTGCGTAAGAGTAATACACCCTTAGAAGAGGCATTAAAACATTTCTGAAAGGGGCAAAAGCTGCAAAACCACCAAATGATCGATGCTTGTGGGGAAGGAGGGGACAAGGACACCTGGGAAAATCCTGAAGGGTTGGTTTGGCCCCTGACCCTGAGGTTCCCTCCTGACACTCCCCCCCACACACACACACACCATGCAGTGTCATACATTGTGAAGTCAGCATCCGCAATGAAACAGCGTTCCGCCTGATGCCCCTTGTCAATTGAGAGACTAGGGTGAAAGAAGTGGGAGTCCAGGGAAAGCAAGGCCGTGTGCCTTTCGGTGCTGAATTCGCTGAATAAGTGAACATGTGCGTTTGACATCACATTTCAAGACATGTTCTCTTTTATTGAGCTAGGGCATGTGACACTTTGCAGAACAGCAGACGCAAAGGTTAGGACCTTTGTTTTGAGGCACGTACAGTCTATATTTAAGCAGTGGGAAGTGGTGACAACTGAGGGAAGGGAGGAAGAGAGAGGCGATTGTCACAACTTTGCATCTCCCTTGATGGATTATATAACAAGGTCCCAGTGGAGCAGATTAAAGGGCCTTCTAGCCTGGCATCCTGTTTCTTACACAACACCTCCCAAGAGACCACAAGCTGGCCATGGAGGCAGTGGTCCTTCCCTGTACTTTGTCTGAACTCAGATGTTGGAGACAGAGATAATGGCTAGCAGCCAAGGATACACTTGTCTTATAAATCAACCTATGACTGACGTTTACAATGCTTGCCTTCAAAGGACCCACACCAATTGCTGAAGGAGAGAAACATATCGTGGGATTTCAAATAATCACCAGAATGATGCAACATCTTTGACTGGTAGACTTTTTGGCATGCATTTGTCTCTCCTTCCCCCCTATTTTGGCAGTGGCTGGGCAGATGTTTCATGAAACCGCACATTGACCTATACCCCAAGAATTCCTCATGGAATGGAAATGGTCTGTGAAGTTCTAGCATTAGAAGGGAACTTTATGTTTCCTTACCTCACCATCTGGGGGCATTTTTAGGTATGGTTTAGTTCAAATCTAGACCCTTTTTGCCTTAGATGGAAGACCAGTTATTCCAACCCAGTGGTTTCTGCTTGTAACCCCATCAGCTTTCCCAAAATTTGTCAGTTGTCCAGACTGTGTCTGACTGAATCCATATAGGCTGCTGCCATAGGATCAAGGACCTAGTGGACACCACAAGGTGGATCTAGCAGGTTCTCACCTAAAAGAATCACAGAGAATGGAGAAACCTTTCTCAAGCTGGCCCCACTAGTTGCGTTGGGAATTATGGGAGCTGCAGCCCAGTGCCACTGGCACACACTAGAGGTTGCTGAACCATTTTGATATCCATGAACAGAAGGGGAGGGCTTGATGGATGTCCCTTTCCTCACTCTTGCAGGAATATGATGCAAAAAGACACACTTTTGAAGTTCTCTCTTCTACACAGCTACCAAGGGAATAGAAGGCTTTCCTTCACTCCAAAAGGTTGCCAACTCCACCTAGTCTGTAGCCACTAGGTGTGTAGCCACTGAAATGTGAGCCACCAGTTTTCCTCTCATATTGCCTGAAGGGAGTTGTTCATTTTAGGTACAACCATTACAAAGAAGCAAGCAAACAAAAATAGCTGATAACAAACTTACAGAACTTCCTTTGCAGACCACATTCTCTTTCAGGGGTTCAAGTCTTGGACTCTGAATGGAGCAAAGTGCAGAGTTATTGCAAAAGGAGATAATTCCGTGGATGAATTATCATGCCAATCCTATTTACTGGACATTTCCAATCACTATACAGTATAGCAAGACCAGACTGATGCATAAGGAAGCTGAAGCAGGCACTCTGGAAGGTTTGCCGGGAACTGTATCACAAGACGCACGACAGACTCAGAGCAGATCGAAGACATCATTCGCACAGAGCTCCAGCCCACCTGAATTTAAACATTTCCTAGAGGCCAAGCCTGCATTTTGACTGGCATCCAAATATAAATCATTGGCCATTCCCTCAGCAGGTTATTTGATTTCTGTCTGATTGTGGCTGGAGCATCATGATCTGATGATGGGAACATCAAAAGGCATCTCACATGTGTGAATTGGCAAAAAAAGACCATGCATCTTCAGTAGAATATTCACACTTTCTGACCCCCCTCATTATTTTCAACGGAGGCAGTTCAAACATTCATCTGCAAGTGGCATGCATGCATGTATAAATCAGTTGGAAGATGATGATTGTCATTGGATCATCAGGAAAGGAATTTCATGTCCTTTTGCAAGGGGTGGGATGGCTGTTAGGTGGGATGATGGAAGAAACTCAGAGCTGAGTCAAAGGATGCATGTGGTCTTCAACCTAATTTCATGCCACCTCCATCCAAATTTTGCAAGCTGTCAGCAAGCAATCAGTTCAGACCTCTGGCAAGAGCCATCTGTCCCTTTCATTTAGCTCACTGGACAGGGAGGAAGATTGGAGTGGGAGGAAGAGTGAGCGAACGAGAGAGAAGGGTGGTTGAATCCATAGTTGGACACCCTGACAGGTCACCCTTGAGGGAATCTGGCCCTTCACGAAGGAAAAGTGAAATTGAACATAAGATAAGATAAGCCATGCTGGAGTCCAGCATTCCTTTCTCCTTTTCACAGCAGCTGTGCACTGGGTCGACATTTTCCTTGAGCTGTCCAAGATCCCTTTCTTTATCAGTCACTCCTAGCTCAGATGCCATCTGGAAGGGATTTTTTTTGTCTCAACATGTGCAGTTTTTCACCCCAATATGTGGATAACCAGGCCAAAGTGAACACTCTGAATATATATCTTTCATTCTCTCTTGGCAAATTAGAAGATGTTGTCAAGAACCTAGGCTAATTTCATTTCAGTGCAAAAATGTAGATCTTAACTGAACTGAAAGAATGATCATCCCCATTACCATTTTTGAGATATAGCATTGTTCATATTATTATTGAAGACCATGAACGGCAGGTGCAGGTGCTTCTGGCATGAATGCTCCAAAGGCATTGGGCAACACATCCACCTTATGTGAAACGATGGGAAAACATGGGAGGCCTACAAACAGAAAGTATCACCATCTCGAGGACCTCCTATAAATTTCTGTGAATGTAGTAACGTGATTGTCTGGAAGCACTCTGTGTTGTTGCATAGCATTTGTAGCTTTCCTTTTTCCCTCTCATGAGGAACCCAAGGTGGTTTTCAAGGCTTCATTTTACCCTCACAACAACAACCCTGTGAGGTAGGATGGGCAGAGAGTGAGTGATTGACCCAAAGTCACCCAGTTGGCTCCATGGCTGAGTGGGGATGAGACCTTGGGCTTTGCCAAGTCCTCAGTCCAGCACTCTGATCCCCACTCCACAGCCCTGTCTCTTTCACATGGGTGGCATTCTGGAAAAGGCTCACAGCAAGGGTCATTTCTCTTGTTTTTTAAAGGGCAAAGCTCTGTGTAGGATTTTAACTGCCTTGCTTTGAAAGATGCAGTGCAACTCACTGCTGGTAATTTATTAGGCAAGCAGAGTAGATGGATAGCCTTTGCATATATCAGATGCATGTAACGTGAGACAATTTCCATAAACAATCCATTTCATTTTGGACTTGTTTGGATGATATTTGCTGTTTTTGCCAGTGCATTCAATCTTAAAATATGGTTTGAGAATTATTTACTTTAAATCTTGGCTTCTGACTCTTTCCACTCATTATATTTTTCATGGTTCTTTGACCAGGAGCTGTGACTCTTAAACTATTTCAAAGATTATTTTAAATTCTAGTGTTTACACATTAAGAAAAGGTACAAATACAAAACCAACACCGAACCTTCCAACCTGTTATAAGGAGTACTTGATATGAAAGTTGGCTTTGTGAGGCTGGGGGACAGATACCAACATAGGCCTTCTGATGCAGTGTTATGTGCAAAGAGTCCCTAAATTGAATTGAGAAGAACTTGGATATATTAAAAGAGGAGCAGAACTCGTAAAACTGGAGTGATATTAATTTAAACAAAGCTGCACACTGGGCCAGATCCAAACCAGAGTCTTGGAGAAAATACGGTAAGATAAAGATGCATTTCCATTCTGCTTCATATGGATTTCATCCGCAGGCCCACCTTGTCTTCCAATTTGCCAATGAGATGCTGCAGTTGGTTGATCTCAGAGGTCCACCGGCTGTCAGTTTCCACACAGATACCTGAATGCCATGCAAACAAGGGAGAAGTGCGAGCAGAAATTGTAGGCAGGCAGCTTACGACTGCAGGTCAGCAGGCAGGGAGTGCTTCAATAGGATCAAATGCTAGACGGATGCAGAGCAAATCTGTGCTCTTCCCTTTGATACAAACTAGACAAATAGATTTGCTTTTTAATCTCAGTCCCTTAATCCCCTGTTCAAGGAGGGCAATGTTTCATTCCCTCACTAGCAATATAATGTTTTCCTAAGGACTGCAAATCTTTAATGAATTACTCATCTGTGATGCAAGACAGGCAGGAGCTCTGTCTGGAAATCGCCCATAGCGGCATTTGATGTCACATTATCATTTGCGGACATACTTTCTGATACCACTCCTGTGACAAAAAACTGCCAAGTGGATGCCTCAGCAGGTTATCTACGCACAAATCAGAACTGCCATTCCAAGCTGTTCTCCATATTTTTGTTATGTGCTTCAGGGACTCACTAGACCCTACTTCCTGCTCCTCATGGACCACTTTCCCATGCATCTCCATGGCAAAAGGCTTGAATAACGCAACATGATCACATCCAGCATTCCCAGGCCTACTGAAGGCAGCAGCTAATGAACTGCAGTGGGGAGTAAGGAAATGATGGAAGTGGTGGCGGCAGGTTGCAGATTTCTTTTCCCTGACATTATTGGGGAGTGTGGATTAGAGGCAGCCCGTGTGCCTCCTTGTAACGTGGAATTAGTCCAAGGATGGGCAATGGGTTACCTTCCAGATGCTTTGGCTTACAACTCCTGTCAGCCCTATTTGGCATAGGCAATGGTGAGAGATGATGAGAATGGTAGGCCAAAACATCTGGAAGGTCATCTGTTGTGCATCCTTGAGTTAGGGCCTGACTAGCAGCCCTTTCTAATTAATTAGACAGGGGTTGCAATGCATCCTGTGATGAAGGAACCAGGCTCTTTCACTCACTAATCATTTTTTAACGTCAGCATTAAATGCATGAATGAGCCATCACAGATTAAACCACAAGCATGAAACTCTCATGTCATTTTTCATGGCGATTTTGAAAAGTTAGATCAAATCATAAAATTGTTGAGTGAATAGAAATGAAGTGAGATTTGCAGCTGTGCAAGCTTGCCTGCTCTTGAGGTTGAGGAATTTGTATGAGTTTGACTGGGTTTGTCTGGGCAGTTTGGGTTTCACTCAATAGCTCACCCTCTGAAACTGTCAAGAAGAGCCAAAGGAGGGGAAAGTGCCTTTGGGGCTTCCTCTGGGTAAGGACCAGGGTTGGTGCCTGCTGCCTCTTTGCAGTGGTCATACCCAAGATGTTGCCTCAGTCAGGCCTTCCCATGCCCACATTTGTGCAACCATGCACATTTTTGAGCATTCCTTTTAAAGGTTGGAAAACCAGGAACTGCTGTGGCACTGGGGAAAGACTGCCAATAGCTGTCGAAATTGAGGTGGTGAAAGCCAGTTTGACAGCAGGTTTTTGCAACCCCTAAAAAGAAAGGAGTAAAAGCAAGGGAGGGGCAGGGGCTGCCGTGAGTCCAAAGTGGCTCACAAACTGTGCAGGAAGTGGGGGAAATGACTTTGTCCACCTGTGATATCTGCTGGGAACCCTGCTGGAGAAGGAGGGGAAGGATCAGCTCCTGGACTCACCACAAGTTACTTATTTGCATGACAATGAACCAATCCCCCCCCACCATGGCTTCCTGCCAGGGTTGGTTAGCATGATGTACAAACACGTTCCTTATGTCACTGCATTCTATATTGAGACTTTGCCCTACTTTATTTTTAAGTAAACTTCGGTCAGCACAGTAGCTTCATACTAATACAAGCACTGTCAATAGAAATGAGTACCTGTGGTCAACATCCCTGAATAAGGATCCGTAGGAGACAGACAGATATTCTTCTGAACTCTGCGACCACATCGTTTTATACTGCGTGACCCAAGTAGAGCTTCTGAGTTTTTCAGATCTTTCCTAAAAGGCACAAATTAGGCTTGATTCATCTCCAGAGTCATTGCTCATGTGTGTAAGGGGGCTTCCAGACAGACGGATCCTAGTGCAACTTATCAGAAGGCTCTCTGAGGCTATTTTGCCTCTTTTTCATGGAGAGCATTTCTGTGTTAAAAAGTAGTAGTGGCAAAACTTGGGACGGTTGGAAGTGGAAGTTACCATTGCCTGAACCCTCCCTGAAAAGTCGCATGAATGAAAAAGGGCAATAGCGAGAAAAAGTTCCATTTGGAAGTGCCCCCACCCCCAGATTGTGCATATGAAATTTCCAATTCTTGACAAAAATGAAGAGCAGAGCTATGATTTACTTTTAAAATGTGTGGGTGTTTCTAAAAATATATATAATGTAGTAGCACCAGAAAACTTCAAGGTAATGCTACCAGATGCTGTCCTCTTTGAGCTGTTCAGATCTAATAAGACTTAAACACTGGCGGTGCCCCATTTCTGTGCATTATGTCTTATTGGCTGCAACGACTAGTCCCATGTCTGTGAGACCGTGTCTGCTTGGTCACTCCCAGAACTGCACCATGGCCTAGAGCTGGAAAGTCTGAAACTATTCCTAGAAACAATGGTTTGTTTTCCCTTTGGGGAAACACCTGTCCTGAGCTGGAAGCTGTATGCATGCTGGACAGGCCAGAACCTCAGGGCCAGCCTGACCCTTAGTCAAAGGGAGGTGGCTCCCCAGGCAGCAAATGGTTGGTTGGCTGCTTCAGTACAGTCACGTATTTTACTGTAAGTAGGGGATGAATTTCTTGAGGGATGTTCTGACTTAGGGGCTAAAATAAATGGGTCCCATTTGGAGCACTCTGCATTATGGTTTGGAACTGGAGAGGACGTCATTTGTTCTCCTTTCCCAGGCAGCAGCATGGCTTGGGCCAGACCAGACACCAGTCCTGCTAGTGCGGGAGAGGACAGAGCAGCAATAAAGGAGGAGGATGCTGATGTTAGATCTGTCAGGGCAAATCCCTCTGCAATCAGTTGACAAAGTGAGGCTTCTTTGGCCCCATCACCTGGAACAGGTGGCCCAGTGAGGGTTTCTCACATGCCACTGGCTTCTTCCTTGCATCTCTTATCAGGGAGGGCATCAAAGGTAAGGAGGGCTGGACTCCAGCCGAGGGTCCACATCCTAGCGGGGGCCAGGAGACAATTGCCCCTTGGTTGCTGCTCTTCTTCACTATCACAACCAGCTTGTGCCCTTGCTGTTTGCTCTGGCCCAGGCAATGCAGTGGTGGGAAGAAGGAGCGGAAAAGGGCACTGCCTGCTTCTCATGGCTCCCTGCTTGTCGAACAAGTGAGCAGCAGCAAGGATTTAGAGCAGGAGGAGGAGGAGAAAGAGCTGGAGCTGAATGCTGGCAACAGGGAGGCAGGAGTCAGGCAAACCCAGGGACCAGCACCGGCTTCCTTTTCTATCTTACATATAAAATGGAAGTATCACAATTAATAATAAATTAATAATAAAATTGCTTTATTTATTTTTACTACTATTTCTTTATTATTTTACTATTTCATCCAATCCAGTCAGTTGCTGTACCTTTCTCGGCCGGTCTGTTCATCGATGGTGTCTGCAGCACACTCCAGTGAGACCTGCAGGGACTGCAGCTGGTTCATTGTCTCCCGCAGAAGGAACCGGGTCACAAACTGTTCCATCTTGGAGGAGCTCTCATATACCTGGAAGGATAAAGACATTGGGTGGCCGGCGGGTCAGCTGAGCACTGGTAGGCAGGCAATCTTCCCCAGAGGTGCTACAGTCTTTCTTGCTTTGGACCAATGTCCTATGAGAAACATGTTGCAATTGGGATGTCTTCAGCACCTTGGGTTCAGAGATGAAAATGTTGAAAAAGCTATCATATCTCTGAGACAAATTCAAATTTTGGATGGTATTATGCAAGCGTACCCTAATTCCCAAGCTACATATAAACATAAATCTTCCAGTATCCCATATAAAGAAACAACACATAGAAAGAGGTATTAATTCCTGGGACTAATTTATATTTATATGCTGCCTTTTTTTCCTTTCAAGGGAATCAAGGTGGCTTCCATAATTATCCTCTCCATCTTATCCTCACAACAGCAACCCAGTGAGATAGGCTTGGCTGAGAGTTCCCACAGAAGTGCCCGCCCGTACTGTTAGGGTTGGATAGCATGCTTTCTTGACTTTGCATTTACTTCTCCTGCTTTCTACAGGCAAACTCCACCTTAAAGTGCAGCCATTTCAATATAGGCAGGCAGAGTCTCACAAGAGCAGCTGTGACGCCATTTGTCACACTTTATCATATCACCCTCTGCTCTGCAGTGTTGGCATGAATGTTATAGCGGTCTGATTAATCACATTCTACACAGAGGAAAAAGGGAAATGATACATCAGTTGACTTTTTAACTGTGAATACCTCTGCTGCTTCTGTTTTGTTCTGCGAATATAAGAGGAAAAGGGTTTCTATTTCTTTATAAGATGGGCTGTTTTGGGTCTGGGCTGGCCATCTTATCGTATCAAAGTGAGAAAGCACCACAATATGTGCCCCTGTTGCGACACCAACAAACCATCTGCTTCTGCAATATATCTGCAACTCTGACAGTCATATCCCCTGCGGTTGCATGGAAAAGGGGTGGGCAAGGTGGCTTAAATATTTCTGCTCCCTCACCCACCCACCCCACAGCCTTTTTTTCAGGGGAGTGCAGGAGCGCAAGCACAATGAAATTTGTGACAGACGGTGCTTGCCAGGAAGTAGATCACAATAGTCTCTATCTCCAAATATTCGCTGAACAAAATGATCCCACGGAAGACAGTGTACAGGCAGGTCCCAAAAGAGGAAATGTTTATGTGACTTCTCCAGGAATGTGGGTTGAAAGAGAGGGAAGTTTGTAGCTCCTCTCTACTCATGATCCAGATCTTTAGGCAGGTCAACAAAAGGGTTTCTACTTCTGAATACCGCAGGAATGCCATATGGGGCAGAACAAAGTTCAAGGCCGTCAAAGTGACCTTCTTCCAAGGACTTGAATGGCATGGAGGTCACCCTCATGCTTACCCAGGCTGACAAGTCTTGCCACTGCACCAAAATGTGGGAGCTGCAGGTGGGTGAAGGCAGGCCAGACTGGCAGGAGCAGAGACCGACAAGTGAGTACTTAAGTACACAGAAGCAGTGTGAAATTCTCTTGCAGTGTTAGAAGTTAGCTCTACCACTCTCAGTGAGGCCTTTACAGGACTCCTTTGCAGGAATGCATGGTTGACACGATGGATACAGGAATGCCAAGGACAGCTGTCACGTCCACATCAAACAGCACTTAAACTAGTGATTCTGTTTGCTTCCTTGCAGATTGGTGTTACACTCAGTATTGCACTGTGTTGCTGAAGATCCCTTTCTGTATATGTGTCTTTTGTCCCTCCATGACTGGACTTTTGGGTGGCACAACTGGACTATACAAAATGTTTTATGCATTACCTAACACACTGAGGTTTGATCGTAACATCACAACAAAGAATGCTGCTACATATGAGCACATGTTGTTGTTGTTGTTGCTGTTACTCGCGAAGTTGTGTCTGACCCATCGCGACCCCATGGACAACATTCCTCAAGGCCTTCCTGTCCTCCACCATCCCCCAGAGTCACTTAAGCTCACCCCAACTGCTCCAGTGACTCCATCTAGCCACCTCATCCTCTGCCGTCCCCTTCTTCTTTTGCCATCTATTGTTCCCAGCATTAGGTGACCAAAGTATGTGAGTTTCATCTTCAGGATCTGGCCTTCTAAAGAGCAGTCAGGGTTGATCTCCTCTAGGACTGACTGGTTTGATTGCCTTGCGGTCCAAGGGACTCGCAGGAGTCTCCTCCAGCACCACAATTCAAAGGCCTCAATTCTTCTGCACTCAGCCTTCCTTATGCTCCAACTTTCACAGCCATACATTGCAACTGGGAAAACCATAGCCTTGACTATACGCACTTTTGTTGGCAGGGTGATGTCTCTGCCTTTTAGTATGCTGTCTAGATTTGCCATAGCTTTCCTCCCCAGGAGCAAGCGTCTTTTTATTTCTTGGCTGCAGTCCCCATCTGCGGTGATCTTGGAGCCCAGGAAAATAAAATCTGTTACTACCCCTTTTCTTCCCTATCTATTTGCCAGGAAGTGATAGGGATGGATGCCAAGATCTTAGTTTTCTTAATGTTGAGTTTTAAGCCAACTTTTGCACTCTCCTCCTTCACCTGCATCAAGAGGCTCTTTAGTTCCTCTTCACTTTCTGCCATTAATATGAGCACATAGCAGTGTTATTTCCAGACCTGGAGATATGATTCACCACCCAGCAATATTTAAGCTGCACACATACTATACTTGTGTAGCACTCAACTGCAGTTCATTTGTGTGTGTGGTTGGACATATCCTGAACAATTATTTTGTGAGAATCAGTGTTCCTATGACTCACTCTCAGCTGCTCCTGTATTTTTTGTTCTCCCCAGATGTTGATCAAGAGTTTCAAGGTTTTCTATGAAACTCCACAGCCCCTGGCTAGCAAATCTCTAGATGCCATTTTCCACTGGAGATTTTGCACTGTGAAGGACCAGCTAGAGAGGGAGAACACACAGGTGCAAAGTTTAGAAGTGGGAAGAAAAATATACACCTAAGGGACATTCCACTAGTAATGCAATTTTGGGGTGCAAGCACAATTAGTTTTAGAGACAAAGCCACACCCTCTCAAGACCCAAAATGCAGGGAAGCTGCAATGAAAACAAAAATTGTTGCGAGGGGATTTTGAGTAAATGCTTTTAAAAACAGAAGCTGACTAGCATTGAACCAGTGTTTGAAGCTCAGTAGCACCACAATAAACTCCCTGTGCAGATTTGCTCCCTGGCTGTTTCCACACATAAAGAAGGGGGATGCAACAGAAGATCTTCACTATTATTTTTGAGGAGTATTACCTATATCTTTTCTGCAAAGTGTCTGAGAAAAGAAGGAGTGTTTTGCCTAACATCACTGATAAAATGTTAGGGAGCCTAAAACAAGACCTTAGAAGTCTTGATTTTCAGTTCAAACCCGTTGATCCACAGAAAATTGGAACAACCTAATTTGGACTCAGTGTCAGTCAAGATAATTTTTCTTCCACAACAAATCTGTAGTTACTGCTCTTTCTTCAAGGTTGCACTTCAGATTCAGGGATATATTACATTTGTAAGGTTAAGATGGTGTGCCTGAATTGAGTTCGACCTACAAAGCTCATGCTTTACTAAAGGCCAAAAGGTTTGGAATTATCAGAGGCCACTCATTTGAGAAGTGACCCTGATAAATAGTCTGGAGGAGGCAGAATAAACATTTCTTTTCTGATTCTTCCAATGTTTGGGATTTTCTACAGAGCAACAGTCCTTTATTTTCCTTTTCTTGGGAATTGTCCCATTCTCATTTATTTGAGCATTTTGCTGTTACATTTATACCCTGTTTTTTCATACCAAAAAAGCCCAAGGTAGCATACAATAAGAACAATCCACATAGCATTATTAAGCAATAATATATGTGTTTTTAAAGCAAGATTGGAGCAGTTAAAAAAAACCTGGCAACTAATTAAAATCACAATTAAATCAAATCACTTTTCTCTTAAACCTCACAAAGAAGTTGGATACTTGTGTGGAGGGCTGTGCACCCAGTAAGTTTATCTCCATCCCAGGCAGAACCCCAACATTTACTGCCATGGCTGCTTGACACTTTAATTGTATTCACCAAGCCCCAAGAAACCGGCTGCCGTCCTCCTGTGCCCATTATCTGCTGTTTAAATATCCTGCGTGCTGCTAATTCCAAGATCACAGCATTTGCTTAGTCTTACTGCCAGTAATTCCCCAAAGGGAGTTGGGCTTTATACTGGTAATGTTGTCTCTGTGTGTGCATCTGAAGGGCACATGCTACCAGCGGGGCACAGTCCAGATGGCTGCAACTTTTGACCCTGGGGGATTATCGACATTCTGTGCAGGGCCAAAGGACCATGGAGCTCAAGGCCACCCCTCCATTCCTCCTTTCCTGCAAAATACTCAGCTGATTTTGGCCATCTAGCATTCCACCTCAGATTGTGAGCTGGGGAGGCTGGGGTGCCACCAGATCACTTCATATGCATCCCTCCGCCACCCAGAATGCCCTCGAAACACCCTCCCTGCCTCTCTGTCTGCCTCCTATGCAGTTCTTCTGGTGCCAGAAAGGGGAGAACGTTCCGAGCTCATAAGGCCAGGGGGCTTTGCCAACCTCCTGCTTCACTCTCCAGAGATGCTATGGCATTCTAGACAGCATGGGACTGTGCTGCCCAAGGCCTTCCTCATTTTAAACACTCTAACTTACCTTTATCCTCCGGCAAAAGGAGGAAGATTGAAAACATGAAGAAATCTCAGGGTTGGAATCAGACCTAGTCTAACTTACAGAAAATCCATTGAATTGAATAGGTCTTAAATGCATCATGAATAATTAAAGTCCTATTAATATCAGTTGGTTTATTCTAAGTATGACAATGGATACAAGCTTTCATTTTAATTTATGTCCGAATAATCAATTGCAAGCAAATTAAAGGTATAATTACAAATCAGGTAATACTTGACGTGTACTCACACAAAGCTAATTCAGGACCCTACAGCCAACAGATTAGAAAGGAATAGATGTGGGATTATACAGACCTCAACATTCTGTGAAATGGGACCATATTACCATCAGCA